CAAAACTAGCCTCAGGTCCCTCATCTTGAGAAGCCTCGACTGGTTCTCCTGAGGAAGACTCATCTAGACGAATGACGTTGGTCTTGGCCATCTCGGCCGCTACTTGAGGTACCTGTTCCATATCCCTCGACCTCATCTATCTATGGATGAGGGTGGAAGTAGGCTCCTCCTCGGCTGTCTCAGCCTCCGTTGGAGGAATGTACTGATGAAGACACTTCATAGGCCTAGCAGATGACCCCTCTTAGGAGCAACCAAATAAACAGTAGGCGTCGTTGCCGCTTCTTCTATCCTTATGACCCGGTCGAAAGCCTTCTCCTGGTCCTTGTCATAAGGGGGCACATTCCACACACCAACAACCCGCAAGACCAAGTTGTCAAGCAGATTGTCGACTCAACGAGAACCAACGTCGCCTTAATTTGGTCAAGTGTATCTCTCTCGGCAATAGTCAGCTCACCCTCCATGAGCGCCTCACTTCTTATTTCGGACCAATTAGAGTAGCCCAACTTCAGATCATCCCCCACGACCCAAACAAACTTTTCCTTCTAGTGCTTGTGAGTGTCTAGAAGACCGGTGATGAGCCTGAACTTCCCCACCATTTGAAAGTAGAAGCGGATCTCCATCTAGTTCACCTTCACAACCATCAACCGGCCCAAGACCTACAGAGATGGCTTGATCACCAACCAGTGGAAGATCACAATGAACCCTACCAAGATGACAATGGCGTTTGGCTTCATTTGCGTCGGCGAAACCCCTAGCACTGTGAACACTTGTTTAAGGAAGGGATGTAGGGGTAGCCGAAGACCAAACTCTAAGTGCCTCAAGTAGAACGGATTCCGCTCAGGCCCATGATCACAGATGGCCTCCAACCTCGTAGGGGCCATCAGATCGTATTCCTTAGGGATGTTAAACCTCCCAGAGAGCGTCCTCATCTGGGACTGCGTCACCTTAGAATGGATCCCCACCGGGAGAGCTCAACGATCCACAGGCTCAGATGTCATCGGAGATTGCAGAGATGGTCGCTGGAAGAGATGAGAGGAAAAGTTTTTAGTTCGCTAGAAGGAATTTTAAAAGGCAATAACCGACACCCTCAGGCCCCTGGTCCTATATATAGGGAATTGCCGAAATCTAGACCGTCAGATCAAATTTTGGTCAACGGTCGAGATCAATTTTCAAAATTCGAAGCGCCATCTCACGGATCGAGACGCATCCTGCTCACCTGGAGTAGCCCATAATCTGCTAGGAAAAATATATTTGCAACAGTCAAAAGAACGTGTAGTGACGTCAGCCATGTTAATTCGAAGGAACTTTTTAGTTCTCGCATTTAAAGAACTCACGTCCGTCCAAAGCTATTCTTATTTTACTCGGACCCGGCCAAAGCTGACTCTAAGCGAAAGGGGCCAACTATTATGGTGTTCCCAATCACCTAAGTGCAACCCTTTCCTAGCAACGGATAGATGTACATCTGCATGCAATGCCCCAATCAGGTTGGCAACCGGAGACTAGTAGGGAAGACAACTCAGCCATCTTGTCGAGTCGACATTCCATCATGTCGACCCAAAAGACGATACTTGTCGCCCCTCTTTTTGTCGAAGACCACTCACAGCGAGTCCAATCGACCAGCTGACTCGATACCTTACGAGGTCGACTCGAAGGGTGTTACTTCTTGGCGAAGCTAGAGGATAACTTTAGCCTCGAGCCTCTCCCATTAACAACGAGTCAGTGTTGTATTTAATGTTTGGCAGGCGCTATCATACCTCTAACCTCAATAGTCTTTATGACTCATCGGACCACGTCAGCACCGTCATACCTCCGATCACCTCCCATTTAATACTGACGTGATCTCTCTTCCAGTTGTCAGCCGACACCTGTAAAGAGAGTCCTGACGCAGCTGCCAGCCGACACCTGTAAAGAGAGTGCTGACGCAGCTGCCAGCCCACGTTTCTTCAGCGTCATCCTGTGCTCGGTCACAATGACGGTTATGCCCCTTCGGCACTACTATAAATGTAAGGTATTATTCCCTCATTCGAGGATTCTGATTCGAGGCTGAGAGGATTCTCATTCGGGGAGGCTGAGAGGATTCTCATTCGGGGAGGCTGAGAGGATCCTGATTTGATTCTGATTTTTTCTAAAAAATCAGTGTCTTCTACGAATCATACCACACACATAATAACTCATAGTTCTTTTTTCCCACTCAAACTCACTAGCTGACTTGATCGTCGGAGGAACCACGAGGGAACCAGTTCCCATCCTCTCACGAGTTTTTACTTATGCATGCTTCAGTCACTCAACTCAAGAACCAGACATAAAGTCGGGGAAGAAAGCGGTCGTTCATCAATAGTCAACAACTCCATCCAATAGCGGATATTATTGACTGTGTAATCACTTAACATCAACAGTTAGCTATGAAGTTTGTGATATAAAATTTATACAATGTTTATAAGTTTTCTAGTTTTTTTCCCGTAATAAGATGATACCCATACAAGAATTCTCAATAGAAATGGATCTCTTCAATATGGATCATCTATTACGTATACAATAAAACAGTACTTGTCATTGATTGCATGAATGCCAAGTAGTAATTTATTTTAGTTCTATTATTATTGTTGTTATTATTATTACTAACGTTACTATTACTATTGCCATTATTTTAATCACAATATACATCTTATCTAGTATTAAACATGTCATTTCAATTTCTGTATATTAGAGCATCTCCAACAGCTTCCCCATTTCTCACTTTTAGAGAATTTAGTTACGTTTTTGGCCCAACAAATTCCCCATCTCATTCCCCAAAATAGGGATGGAGGAGAAAAAATGGGGAAGCTTCCCCAAATCTGCAGCATTCTCCAAATTTTTGGAGGAAAAAATTGATTCTTCAAAATGGAGAAGCTGTTGGAGTTGGTGTAAAAATTAGTTGGAGAATATGACTTTTGCTTCCCCATTTTGAAGAAAATTTTGAAGAAGCTGTTGGAGATGCTCTTATGCATCTTTTCTATCCTTTCTTTCCAAACCCACGGCCATCTCTCTAGAATTTCGGTTTGGTTGTTTGTAGTAATTCAGGAACTATTATGTTGGAATCGGATCCACAGTATATTTAGATTCAGACCCTTTTTACTATTAAAAAAATAGGGAGGGATCACTACTCTAGCAATTATTGATTATCTGTTTGATATTTAGTATTTTTCTTTAAGTACAATTTTGAAATGAGTGCAATTCAGATGGTATGGTGAGTGTTAAATATGAAAAGAAAATTCTTAACTAACCACTAGATAAACAACAATTATTATTAAAAATAATAGTCTTTTCGGTTTTTTTTTTTTTTTTTTTTTTTAAAGTTTTTTTTTTTTTTTTTTTTTTTGAAATAGAGATAACCCAAATTAATGCGTCCTAAGCAACGAGTCATTTTCGCAGGACAAGCTATCAATTTTCCTGATTTTAAAAAGTCCACAAGCAATCGAATATGTATCCAGATTCCAGCGTCAGTGGGATACAGCTCATTACAACGACCTGAAGTACTGTCGTCGTCCGATCTTTAAATCGAAATATTACAAAACTGCACCTGTAGTTGGAGCCCCACATAAAACTTTACACGCATTGCTGATGGAGGGACAAACGAAAGAAGTCAAAAGAATGGCTAAGGTTCTGTTTGTCAAAACTAGCTGAAAGCTGCGAGATTATAACTGAAAGCTGTCAAGCTAGTTGAAAGCTGTGAAATTGTAACTGAAAGTTGATAACTGTGTAGCTAGGTGATTGACTAGAGCTGTTTGGCAAAAGAAGCTGTACAACTAGCTTAAATTTGTTAAATGACTAAAAAGGTCATGTAATATTATTGATATAAAATTAGAATTATTAGGGACAAAAACGGAAGAAAAAAATTGACAGCTCCTTCCCAAAGACAAACGCTACTTGAGATAGCTTTCCAAAAGCTACTTGCAAAAGACACAATCTCCAAAATAATCTCCTCCTATTTTTGGTCACCAAACAGCTCTACTAGCTCATTGACCAAGTCAATAAGACACAAGCTCTTAGATAAGACACTTTTTTTGGTTGCCAAACAGTGCCTAAATATAATAAACCCCCCTCCCCCCAAGTTTGGACGATTACCAGAATACCCCCTTAACTTTCAAAATATAAAAAAAATCCCTTAAATTTAGGTGTTATCCGAAAATTCTCCTTTAACTTTCAGATTTTTGTCAAAACATCCCCTAGTTTTCTGATAAAATCTCAAAGTTAAGGAAGATATCTTGATAAAATCTAAAAGTTAAAGGAAGGGTATTGTGATAATCCTTATACTTAAGGGGTTTCTGATATTTTAGAAGTTAAAGGGGGGTTTTTCAGTATTCATCTAACCTTAAGGAGGGTTTTTTTGATATTAACCCTTAAAGAATCTATATATTTAAATTTTAGATGTTGTTTGTTCAATTATGAATAAAGAGGCACAATTCAGGGAAAGATTTCCTTATCTTTTCGCTATTCGAAATAGTGACCATTACTTACGTACAAGCGTTATGTATTTAAGCAAATAATTAGGGTTTATTATTCCAAACTTGTGGCCTTCTGGCTTGCTCTTCATATTATCTCGTTTACACGATTAAAAAAAAGGTAATTAAAAAAACAGAAACTTTAACGAGACAAGTACTGATTTAGAAATAGACCTAGAACTAGAACTGTACAAGACCCTGACCATGCTTTTTTAATTCTTAAACAGCTAAACTTTTCGATTTTGATATGCTTCTAATTAATTTCCAGCAGTCAAACAAGTATAGGCTAATTAATAAACAGATTTACGAACTAAATTTATCTTTTAAAAAAACTTAAAAACAAACTCATTTACATCCGAAAATCTCTCCCGTGTTAGAGGGAGAGGGGGGAAAAGCCAGCCAAAAAATGAAACGAAATTTAAAAAAATAAAAATACAAATTTCCCTCGGCTTTCGCGCTCATCTCCGATCAGCCACTCTACTACACGGCGACCGCCGTATCAGCTTGCCTCAAATAGACCTCATTAGGTTTAGCAGTAGAATTGTTGCTATCATCTCCAACCTTAGATTTCAATTTCTTCGACATCTTCATCTTCCTCCTCCCTTTCGCGTCATCGATTTCAATCTGCTGTTGCCTGCACTCTTCGCTGCAAAATGGGGCGTCTCCTTTGTACATGAACAGCTCGTCGCCGACATGAAGAGGGGTCTTACAAAGGAAGCAGGAGTCGAGAAAATAGTGAGGCTTCTCTTCTGAAACAGCTGGGTCACAGCTGAAGAATAGAGAAGAGAATTGAGTGGAGCTTGATCCCTCCATTGATCTCAAGCTTGGATTAATTTGTAGGTCGAGGGGAAAATGAAGGGTATAAATTGCACGTACTTCTTCCTTCTCTCTTAGACTGGCGTCTTAATTATTAGACTACGGGATTTGATGCAGGGAAGGAAATGGGAAGGGTAGAGAGTTTATAAAGAGGGAGGTGGCTCGAAAACCGTGCTGGTTTATGGGTGGCCCATGTGAATCCATGGGCTGTCACTACTCACGAAAAACTTATTATCACAAATTTATTTATGAGGAATAAAAAAATAGATTCCATGTGCCAACCATCGTGATTCAATGGCACGACTATTAGTATTTGCAGAATTTTCCCAAAAATATATGGATTAACCCGAGGTTAGATGATTTCACTTTGTCTAAAATGACCACCATACAATAACGGCTTGGTTTAAAACGACAACCATACAATAATAACATGGCATGTCAACATTATATGATCTTCCATCATCTGAGTGACTAGTTTGTTCTTAGTTAATCCTTAACATGATCATGTTACGTATAAGATTAATTTCACTCTCTCTTAGAGTGTAATTTGGGCTCTAACGTCACATGTTAGGCCGTAACCATGTTTTTCGTAAATTAATGGGTCTTAAACAAAGGTTGAGAACCAAATAAACGAAAAGGTCAAATTCTTAAGTATTGAACCTACGTACCTTTCTATTTTCCTACACTATTTCTTAACTAATATGAAGCTATACTCATACATTAAATTCCCAAAGGTAGAGGCTAAATTTATAAGTTTTTGCCTAACTATGTTGGCAATAGTTATACAAATCTGAAGTCATTCCAGAGCGATAGGTTGAATTAAATTGACTTTGAATATATATATATATATATATATATATATATATATATATATATATATATATATATATATATATAATATATATATATATATATATATATAATAATATGGGAAAAGTGAATCTAAGGTGACACCCTAGGCTCCCACCTAAGGACGCGGCATAGAATCACAATCATTTCCTAATTTTTTTTGCGATCTGCTCCGTTGAACTTGATCTACACGTTCTTAAACCCAAACACACTAATTTTGGGGTGAACCCATCGTGTTTTGACCATTTATCCACTCGCTGCAATTTTAACGGTTTCGAATGAATAGAACTTTTTGCACGGCTCAACGAATGGTCAAAACACAACGGGTTCACCCCCAAAATTGGTGTGTTTGGGTTTAAGAACGTGTAGATCAAGTTCAACGGAGCGGATCGTAAAAAAAAATTTAGGAAATGATGTGATTTTAGGCCGCGTCCTTAGGTGGGAGCCTAGGGTGTCACCTTAGATTCACTTTTCCCTATATATATATGTGTGTGTGTGTGAGAGAGAGAGAACTTAAAAGAAAACTGAAGTGTTTAACATTCAACCTTATTATTGTAGCACAGTGCCATTCCTTATAAATGCTAGCTACTCCAATAACCAAAAATTACAAATATTTCTTATCCTTTAAGCTTTACAATAGCCATAACATTGGTGAGCGAAATAGTGAAAAACGATAATTCATGTCTTAGCATCTTTTTATTTCTGAAGTGAAATTTCATATCTCATTAAATAAATAAATTCAGATAATTTTACTACAAGGAAAAAAAAGCGACAATCTTTTTTACTCTCTCTCTCTCTCTCTCTCTCTCTCTCTTCGAAAGGGGACTCGGTTCAATGCATGCATCAACAACCCACATGCAGCCGTGACCACTTTTAGCTGGTGGGCCGTGGTCCATGGACAAAAAACCTCAGATTTCGACAAATAAATTTGGGTGCCGCACTATTTTCTGCACAGTGAATCAATTTCTTTCCTTTTCTTCTTTTATAGTATTAAATTTATGTTCGTGCTTTTAGCTGTCTTTTTTAATTTAGATGTTGGTTTAGAGTAAGAGTACGGCTTATAAGCTTGTGATTCTTTATTTCTTTTTAACCATTGTTTTAATGGGCACTTATGATGCTCGTTGGAGGATGAAAGAGATAAAAAGAAATGAACATTAAGTGAGTCCCCTCTAATTTATACTATTTTCTCTTCTTATTTTTTTTCCTCTCTATCTCTCATGCATGTCTTAATGAGTGTCCAAGGATACCTGTAAAAAAAATCCTAAAAACACTTTAGAGTGTGTTTCATTTGTATAATATTCGAGATTGTCACCTTTTATCGCGCTTCAAGGTGACATCTCGGATCTCTTCGTCATCCTCCCATTTTCTTGCTTGCTTAAATTAACATCGTATGTTTACTAATTTGCTCAATTTAATAACAACATAGTTAAGGTAATTAAGCAAGAAAGTACTTGTAATTGGAATTTTTGTAGTTGACGCGTGTTTGGACTTGATTGACCACGCTTTTATTGGAGTTTACATCTCGAGGGCAGCTTTAGGTCCATAATGCTGGCGCGATCAAAAGCGCCCATGATGAGTTTAGTACTGGGATTTCACGTGTGAGCTCTGAACCCCAAATTGGTTCGCGTAAATTTGAAGTTAATGTCACGTGCCATATTATTAAAGTAGAATAAAGCAAAGGAAAGGGTATCAGTAAGGGGCTGTATCTGCTACTAGATACAGGGGCTGTTAATTATAGTAGAGACAAATTACATATGTGTGTGTACTTTTATCCGCAAAATTTTTTGATTATATCCGTAGTTATTTCAATTATAAATGTTTGAGGAGTACCAATGTTGGGTTTCAATTAAACACGTTTGTTTGATTATAACTGTATTCTGTAGTTCCTTGAGAGTGTAGTTAAAATTAACTATTGTTTTATGAAGAAAACTTATGATGAATTTGCTCTTAAATCTTTTTATAAAGGGGTTAATGTAGGCCTGTCCAAAAAAGCCTGCCGACCGGGCTAGAACCCGGCCCGGGCTAGTAAAGTATCAACCGAACAAAGAAACCGGGTCGGACGGCCCGGACCCAGAAGCCCGGCCTGCGGACAGCAAACGGTCACCTTTGGCGGGCACGAATCCGGGCGCGGGCCGGGCGCGGGCGACGTCATAACGGTCACCAAAGGTAGACTCGTTTTCGCCAAGCGGTACACTAAGTGACTGTAGTGGCTGGGCCACTTGTGACGCGTTTTGGATCGGGTCGGGTGCGGGCCGGGACGCGGTCCGGTGCCAATGAACGGCCAAATTAGATCGTCTTTTGATCGTTTGCGCGCCTAAAAAGTCGGTAAAAAATGGCTATTTAGTGAGGTATTTTTGGTCATTTGCCTAGGAGGCTGCCTCTATAAATAGATGGAGGTTTTCACTTCTTCTCCTCACACCAAAACTCATCTACTTCTCTCTAATACTCTCTTATACAATCTTATACTCTCTTATATATACTCTCTAATAATCTCATATACTTTCTAATCTTTCCATCAAATGGCTTCTGAAACTGATTATGAAGAGCAAAACCTATCTACCGATCTTGAAATGAGTCCTACTACAACAGCTACTCCTACCGGTACTAATCCCGAATCCGGTGGTGAGGTATCTACACTAAGAGCTCTTAAAAGGCCGAGATCCGATGTGTGGAATTTTTTCTAGAAGATAGACGTCACCAAAGATGAACACGATAGGATCATCACCCAGAAGGCTAAATGTCTGTTGTGCAGAAAGACTTTCCAAGCTCATCATAAAAGCGGCACCAACTATCTCAAACGTCATATAGAAAAACACAACAAAGACCAGAATCCTCAAGGTGATATCCGACAATCTATGATTTCCCAATCATCCTCTTTTGATCGTCTCGGTAGTTAGAATTATGACACTGCCCGAGTCAGGAAATGTGTAATCAGGTTTATCATTCTTAAAACCTTCCTTTTAAATTAGTAGAAGATGGTGAATTTAAAGATATATTTAGAGATGGTTTTTATCCCGCATTTATAAAATTTTCTCGTCAAACCTGTCAACGTGATATTTTAAAACATTGTCAGGAGGAAGAAGAAAAAATAATTTTTTATTTTAAAAATTTAAACTGTAGATTTTTTTAACTTCTGATATTTGGACATCTAGAGCACAAACTGGTTATTTATGTACCTAGAGCATCAAAGTGTGTTATGAGAACTAAAGTTGAGAAAAAATTGAAGTGTGGCCCGAGAACTAAATTGAGAAAGAACTAAGTATGACGACCAATTTAAGTATGAAGCCCAAGAACATGAGTCAAAATAGCTTTTTACCCTTAAATTTTCTTTGTGGATTTAAAATTCTTTGTAAATTCAAAGGTCATTCTCTAGGGATTCAAAGAGGTAATTTTAATAGATTCACAAGTTTCTATCTTCTGTGATGTGTTAAAGTATAATCTTCAACTCTTGTTAAAAGTTTTGAATCCGGTATAGTAAGGAAACTCTAATACGATATTCGAGCAATCGTGATTCAAAACTCAGCAAGCAGCTATACAAAACAATTTTTTAAAGAATAGTTATGTGTAAAATAAAACTCTTATGGCCTGTTTGGATGGAGGGTAGAGAAGGGGAGGGGAAGAAAAATGTAAATTTAACATTGTTTGGGAGTTGTATTTAGGAGGGTACGTAAATGAGGGGAATGGGGGGTGGGGGTGGGGAATTTGTGCCAAAATGTTACACCCCAAATTGAAGGATAATGAAGGGGAATGGAAGGAATGAGAATTTTTCCTGTGAACAGCGAGACACAAATTATATCTCGAGGAGGGGGGCACACCCACGAGGGTGTCTCAGGGCACACCCGAGACACAAAAATGTGTCTCACCACCCTCCCGCGTGAGACAGCCGATGAGATTTCCAGATCCAAATTTTTGGGCTTATTTTCGGATCTAATTCTTTGGGTATAAATAGGAACTCGTTCCTAGGGTTTCTTAAGATGGTTTGCAGAGGTTTTAGGCGGCTGCAGAAAGAATTTTTTAGATCTGAAAGAGAGAGAACTTGGAGCGATTGTACAAGAAAGAAGTCTTCTTGGGTAAAATCGAAGTCTCTTCATCTTTGGGACGAGCTTGCTGGTTGTGCAAGTCGTCGATGTTCTCCTTCATAGTAGAATCTCCCTTTACCCCCTCCCGTAGACGTAAACAAGTTTGTCGAACCACGTAAATCTCGTGTCTCACATGTTCAGTTCGTTGTTATGATTCCGCAACTCGTCGAGTTCATATATCTCGTTATGTTTAGTTCGAA